GCTGAGAAGGTTTCTAGGAGAGTTTGATTTTTCATATACAAAGTACAACTTTGACATGACTCTTTTTTTTCATGTCAAGGCTGGTGCAAGTACAACTTCATTTGTGGCTGAAGAACACAGCCATACCAGACTGACAACAGGCCAAGTGAAGAGCAGGAGAGGATAAAATAAAATAGAGATGTGACGGTCTGCTTGTATAGAAATACATTTTTTTTTTTTTATTTATTTATTTGTTATTATTCCAAGAACAGAAATATGCCTAAATATGGAAAAGACCACAAAAATCAAAGCTTGAACACCAATTCAAACGCATAAAGTTTAGCAAGGCAAGATTTGTTTTGTTCCTACACTTAATTTTTTATATTTCTAGGCTCACTTGTGTACAAGCTGTGTGGCAGAAGCCTGCCTAAAAGAACTGACAATTTAGATGAGACCATCGGTGAAAGTGGCATTTCTCAACCCACCCCTGGCACACCCACAGAAGGACAGATGACAAGTGTGGATGTAATGCTTAACCCTGCACCTCCTTCTAGCAACTCGGCAATACCATGGTGCAAGTGTGGCATGTACCAAATTATGCCACAAGAAACAGATTGCGATGACAATAGCACGCATGTCTTCAAAAAGGCAGCCTATTAGCAAAATATTGAAGGACCGTGGCCAGGGTTGAGCATAATAAAAATTTAAAAACGATCTCTGACTAAAAATGTTTATAGATATACGAGCTTTCGACTGTTAGATCTACAGTCTTCGACGGGTAAAGATGAATGNATTTGTTATTATTCCAAGAACAGAAATTTGCCTAAATATGGAAAAGACCACAAAAATCAAAGCTTGAACACCAATTCAAATGCATAAAGTTTAGCAAGGCAAGATTTGTTTTGTTCCTACGCTTAATTTTTTATATTTCTAGGCCCACTTGTGTACAAGCTGTGTGGCAGAAGCCTACCTAAAAGAACTGACAATTTAGATGAGATCATCGGTGAAAGTGACATTTCTCAACCCACCCCTGGCACACCCACAGAAGGACAGATGACAAGTGTGGATGTAATGCCTAACCCTGCACCTCCTTCTAGCAACTCGGCAATACCATGGTGCAAGTGTGGCATGTACCAAATTATGCCACAAGAAACAGATTGCGATGACAATAGCACGCATGTCTTCAAAAAGGCAGCCTATTAGCAAAATATTGAAGGACCGTGGCCAGGGTTGAGCATAATAAAAATTTAAAAACGATCTCTGGCTAAAAATGTTTATAGATATACGATCTTTCGACTGTTAGATCTACGGTCTTCGACGGGCAAAGATGAATGACGAAATATGAATATAAATGAGTGAAATAAACAGAATGGACTATGTAAATTAATTATGAATGTGTATAAAAAGAATGTTGCATTGCCCAGGGAGTGGACAGGAATCGTTGACAGCATTTGGAGTCACCATAGTATGCCACGATTCTAATGTTTGCCTTATTCGGAAACTGCCTTTGTCAATTAAGGAGGCCTTGTTAAAGTCAATAGAATGTTCATGGGACCACGCATGGTTCGCAATTTTGGAGCCTTTAGCCGCTGTTTTGATATTTCTTATGTGTTCTTTTCTTCGGAGTTAAACGCTCTGCCAGTTTCACCGATATAACACCATGAACAATCGGCTC